AAAGAGTTTAATAACGCTTCACAAGTCACTTCTCTTGGGGATGGGGAAGAACCCTATTGATTTTGTGACTAAAGAAAATCTTGGCTTCTGTGCAAAAGAAGAAAATATATGAACACACGAAAATCAAACCAAGCAAAAAGCTAATGGTTGAGGAGATCAGCCCTTCTACTATTTTTATGTTCCACTCACCATTAAATTATATCTGTTGTTTTTCCTTACTTATTTCAACCAAATTAATTCATCTGATAACTGTCATTTTTTTTTTCTCTCATTTGATTTTATATATATATATAAAACAGTTGGGTTTTAAATTTCATTCTGAAATGAGTATTTCCTGTTGAGCATTTGTATAATAAATAAATATACATTTGTGTATAGAAGTACACTATGCTAGATGATCAGATGACTGCTGATGTTCTGATGAAATATATAGTATGTTTTCTTTGATGGATTGTTTAGGCAAAGCATTCATGATGAAACTTTGTAGAATTGATGGCAACTCATTGGTACGTTGCTTTTATTTTTTACCAGAATGGACCTGAATGTCTTGTAGGATTTAAATAGAATGATTACATCTCCTCCTTCATCAAAAACTCTGTGAAGAATACCACAGCAGAAAGAAAATATCAGAAAAAACTACCATTTACCTTCCCTACCTGCAAAATTTTAGTGAAAAACTCAAATGCATAGCCAAGAAATTCGACACAGAAGTCCGGTGGAAATACTAAAAGACATTAAGATCCATTCTGGTAAAAAACAAATAGCAACCTACCAATGAGAAACACAAAAATGTCATTTATGAAATTCCATGTTCCTGCAACAAAACATACATTGGAGAAACGGGAAGAAGACTCACGACAAGAATAAAAGAACATAAAGACAGTACAAGACTCATGAAAACACAAAATTCAGCCATTGCAGAACACGTCATGTCAACTGGACACAAAATATACTTGGAAGAAACTAGAATCATCGACATAGACAAATTTTGGAAGACAATAAAAATTATAGAGTCATTTTATATTAACACAATTAAACCTTCACTAAACAGAGATTCCAGATTAGAGGTGAGTAACCTGTGGCTACCATTGGTTGAATCTACAGGAAATCTCTCCTCCAATCAGAAACAGGGATAAACCAACTAATCATAACACACTCTCCACAATCCACCAGAATACTATAAAGACTGACAATACCTTACACATACTGGCCTGAAGACCAAAAGGCAGAAGACTTTCAAAATGTCGTCCTCTAAACTTGTGTGTGTACATCAGGCAGTTGTCATCCATTCTACAAAGTTTCATCATGTAGTATGTTCTCTACTTAAATTATTTTCATTATGATAATATGAATTTTGGTCAATTTCCCAAAAAAACATAAAAGAAAGATAAACTTCTGTCTGTATCCCACTTGATAACATTTTTGTAGGCTATATTGACCTGTTAATATCTTGAAAATTGTACATTACATTACCATCAGGCTTGTATGTCTTTGCTGGGTATTTGTCTCACGAATTGTATAATATGGTTTATTTATGTTGTAAAAATTACATAAGGCCACTGGACTGAACATGTAGTTAATTGAAAGCTGAGAGACAAGTATACTACTTAAGAATTGTTAAGGTGAATATTAAGACTGCACTTTAAAAGTGATAACACTCATTTTTATAGCTGGTTTTGGGGCCCGACTGTCAGTTTGCAGGATTGTCTAGCAGCTTTCTTCTCTGCAGATGAACTGAAAGGAGACAATATGTACAGTTGTGAAAAGTGTAAGAAGCTTCGAAATGGGATTAAATACTCCAAAGTTCTACAGTTACCCGAGGTATGATGGTAATGTGACACAGTACAGATGCTTAAAGATACTAGATGTATGGTGGTATATATCGAACTAAAAAATGCTACATCTACCAGATATATTAACTTTGGTAGTGTTAATATATTTGGAGTTTGTTTTTTTTTTATATAGTTATCAGAGATCTGTTAGTTTATGGTATTAAATCCTCCCAAGTTTCGTAGTTATCTTAGATACAGCAATAAAATGTGATTTTAGCATTCCAAAAAGGTACTTTACTTCTGCTTACATACATAGCTATTCTCGTTCAGTGCTGCCCTCTACTTGCAAAAATTTTTTTGCATGCCACAAGCCTTTCACTCCTACCTATGTACCCCTGGTTCACATGGTTTAATTGATTCTTGCATGTAAATCATCATACGAAAAACCTCCACCAATAGACATGCCGCCCACACGCGTGACTCATGTGACTCCCTCTATGCTATTCTACCTAACTATCACTTCTCGTTTGGCAGTGCTCATGCTCAGACGTTTAATTTGTGCTCCCTTCAAGTGTTTTTTTAGTATCTTTGTATCAATTTCTCTCAACAAATTTACTATTTATTATACAGTAGTGATATTTGTAACTTATCCTGAAGTGGAATTATTTTATATATTTTTTTCCCAGTTACCAATCTTAATACTTTTTATTTCTTTTTGCCAACACAGTTGTGTTTGGTTATTCATTTTGAATTATGCAATTCCGATTTCTAAATTACCACTTTGGAGGTTATATCATCTATCAACACATTTACACAGGCTTCAGGTGCCAATCCTCAACAGTGTATTTTCAGCTTTACTTTGTAAAGATTGATCATCCAATGAGCTGACCTTCGTTGGGCCTCGACTCGAGCTTGGGGGCCCACACATTTGAAATATGGTCTGCCAACTTTGAAAAGATAAGATGTTATACTGATATGGTTTTTGAATATTTTTCTGTTAATATTTTTATCTGTAGTTATTTGGATTCAGTAACATAAATTTATTTAGATTGATCAATACTCATAATCAAGTTCCAGTTAAAAGTGAGAGCTTAGTTGTATCCTTTGTCCTATAATGTTAGATTAGGCTTAACATGAGTCTTTGTTATTTTAGGATTACCTATAATTCATCTTACTGGTGTATCATAAGCTAGGTTAACTATATTGTTTTGTTTTTTCAATACATCAAACCTCATACATATGTTATTGTCAATACACTCTTACTTAATTTTACAATATAATGTATATTTCATTTTCGTTATTATTTATCTTTTATACCTTCTTCATATTAACTTTGCTTGTGTAGATCCTGCAAATGGGGTCTGCACAAACTTCTCCTTATATTTTACATACTTACTGTTAGGTTAGGGTTTTTTAATTTTGAGCTCAGTGATATACTTTGTCCTGCTTAATTTAATTAGGCTTAACAAGTGTCTGATATTTTTGGTTTACCTGGTTAAATATTCTGTTTTTCTTCAACATTTAACATCTAATACATGTTTATTTTACTACACACTTCCTTAAATTTACATTATATCTACTTTTTTACATTTAATTTAGTTTTTGTGGACCCCTGGAGGCTGGAGTTCACCCTACCTTCTCCTGATATTGCTTGCCTTCCTACAACTGTTCAACCCCTTTAAGGCGACCTAGATTTTGTCAGTATTTCCTCTACCTGATTATGGCCTCACAGGCCTCTACTGCAGAGTCTGCTAAGCCCACCTCAGTCTTTTTTAGATACATTTTACAGTATATGTTTCCCTCCTTCTCCAGACATTATGTTTCATGATAAACCTTTTTGTCTCTTTTGGGAGATGGTTCTTGCATGCCTTGCCCTACTCAGGCTTTTCTTTTTGATTTTATGCACTTAGAATCTGTTACCTGTATGGGTGGGGTCTCTGTTCATCCTATCCCTTCTATCTCCCACCTAGTTTTCCAGCTTTGTCTTATCGTATCAACTCTCCTACTGGACATGTCCACCTTACACCTTCTTAGGCATTCCACCTGTATCTAGGGGATTTTTGTGGAATATTTCCTCCTTTTTTCCTACCTGTTGAGGGGGGGGGGGTGCCATCTTTCTTTCCCTCCACGTGTGGCTTCTTTTGTTGACCATCCACCTCTAATAGCGACTTACAGTTGGCTCTTTTTCTCCAATGGTCCACTTTTTGTGGCTACTCCTGTGCTTTTAGCATTGCGTGGGGTATCTGCAATGATATCTTCTATATTTTGGTTGCTCTTTTGTTTCATTCTGAGCCATTGCCAATTTGATTCATATTCCATGTCCGGCACCTTCCCGTCCATCACCAGTCATACCTACGGATTTCTCCATTCTTCATGTATGCTTGATGCTGATTGGAGTTCTGGATCAGTAAATCCCACCTAAATCACTTCTTGGTTCTTCCCCGTTTTACTATATAGTCTGTCATCACAATCGGGTGGGTAATTTTTTCAGGACTGAGAATGCCCACAGTACCTGTTCTTATTTGCATTTCTCGGAATACTGTCTTAGGTTTTTTTCATCACATAATTTGATACCATTTTCGTGCCTTGCCCTTCAGACTTTTTTGGTTCTGTATGTCTTTTGTCAGGTGGTTTGTGATTTATCTGTCTTGGGGGATTTTACTAACACCACTACATTGACATCTGGCTTCAGTTAGTTCCTGCCAAACAGGATAGTCATAACGTACTCATCTGCTTCTTACCCAAGCAGCTCAAGTGGTTTGATTTTCTAGTTGGATAAGTTTTTCATGATCCATACCTAATACTCTTGTCTATTTGGAGAGTGTCTTTTACTCACCCACCTATGTTGGGACCAGCTATTCTCCTCCTTGAATGCATTTGGTGGAGTTTTCTATTATGGTTAACTCTCTTACTACTAGAAAGGTTCTAACACATTGGGGGATGTGGCTTCTATGGAAGCACTTCTCCTTTTGGGTTTTGCACATTTACAATCTTTTCAGGAGACAATGCATGACCATAGTCTCTTGCTAGGGTTCCTTTAAATTCTCTTCTTAACTTTTTTTTCCTTCTTGGATTATACACATAGGTGGTTTAGCATATCCCCCACGTCGTTGGGTTTACCACTTACTCCCCTTCGTTCGGATTTATTTCTCTTCCCTGATGATCATCTTCAAATTTGAGAAGCATTGGTCGATCAGCAGGAGGCTTCAGGACAATGGTCTATGGACAAAAGGTCACACAATGTTAATGCCGTGGCATTTCCAGCAGTCCCACGTGCTTTACTTCATTTTCTTCCTCTTGTTCAAATTTGACTAATCATGTTTCATTTTAAATAATTGATGATGGTGGCTTATTTCACAAGACAAGGAAACACTCTTTCTTGTTCCCTTTGTGGTAGACAGTGGATCTCCCTTTTTGAACCCACACACTTGACGTATGTCTCCTAGTGTGTCATGTTCCAGGTGTTTTCATCGTCATTGCAGATTGTGTTTTCAGACCCTACACACTTTCTCCCAAAGAGTGGCCTTTTGAACCTCAAATTTTTGGTGGCTCTGCCTCCTGTGGGGTACTCCTCCATAGGAAACGTTTGACTTCTTTCTCAATTCCTAGTTACCGTTTTTGTTTTTAGTCTCTGGTTTATTGTCCACTAGCCATTGCTGTCGATACATTCAGATAGGAGTAGATCCAGTTGATAACTTTGGTTTTTCTCATTCTGTCAGTTTTCTTCCTAAGGTGATTTTGTTCATCCATGTCGCTTCAGGTCTATCTGATTGATACTTCATGGCTGGTGCTTATTTGGTTTTCTTGGCTGTTTCGGCTCAATATAATCTTTGTGTTCCATACATGCTCTAGGTTGCTTCATTGCTTTCAAGGCTTCATTCTGTTGACTCCATTTCCTGCAGTTTCATTCCCTTGCACCACTCCTTTGTTCATGTTTTTTTTTGGTTCAGCTTGTGATTCGATTGGCCTTTTATTCCTTATCTCCAGTAATCAATTCCTGGTGTATTTACTCCAATCAGGCACCTTCTCTTTTACATGCATCTCATCTTCGATGTCTGTTGGAGGTACTTTGTCTATCAAGCACTGGGACTACACCTCCTATCAGGCACCACTTGCCACAGGGCAGAATCCAGGTCAAAAAATGGGACAGGCCTCTGAAAAATAAGATATATATATATAACAAAATTAAGAAAACTTACCCAGTTAGTCTCACTGAAGAAGTGAAGGATAGTGATAGGTGGAAGACGGTATCCTAACGAGGAAGAAACAGCTACCCAAATCAGATGAACTCCAGGTATACTTCTATCACTTAAAATTGTACTAAAATCTACAGTTTACAGTCATGTTGACTTCATTTTAATAATTTCCATGGGTGTAAAATGCACAATGTTCCTTACAATCAAACTAGAGATGGGGTATTCCACATAATCATTCGTAGGTTATTCCTCGTAATATATTTGTTTCATAAATATGCCTGTTCTGAACTGTACTCACCCATGGAGTTCATGGATAAAGCAGACGAGAATAGCTGCTCATCCCTGCCATTCCTTAGATTAAATAAATCGAGTTTAGTCTGCTTTCCATTATAGGGTTTCATGGTCACCCATTGCACTGTCTCCATTGTGAATATTCCTCCGGACTCACCACCGTGTCATCGTCCCCCCTCGTATAGTAAGAGAGTCCTTACAACTTTCCATTTCCAAGCTGCTGGGATGGTGATGGACCATGGAGGTGTCTTCCTGAATGAGAAATATACAATATAAACAATACCTTCATTCAGTTGAGAGTAGGGTGGTCATGTTCTGCTGGTGTAGAAATGATTGGGATTCTTCATCCTACCCCTGCATGGATGTCAGTTCCCGGCAGTTGAATTTTGGATTTAGAGCTGAACCAATCAAAATAAGTCCTCATACTTGTGTTCAGGGTGTTCCTGCTCCATCACTGAACTTGTCTCAAGTGCATTTACCTGTGTTGTGAGTCGCAGTGGGTACACTTGGTCGTTGCTCTGCTTCTACCTCTTGCATACCCTTTGATGTCTTTATGCCGAGGATGTTACTACATTTGGAGTGGTTCCGGTAAGTTTCATTTGATGGGGATGTATATGTGTACTTCATTCTGCTCACATGTGCCCTGTTCACAGGTCGATGGTGGGATTTTTCCCTCCTGTTGGCCGAACTTGAGATGAAGACAGCATGATTCTCTTTCCTACCCCCTGCATGGATTTTGATTCCCAGCAGTTGAGTTTTGGATTGTAGTTGACTTACTGACTGTATGATCCTCATCCTACCCTTGCATGGATGTTGGTTCCTGGCAGTCGAGTTTTGGATGGGTTGTGCTCCTCAAATCTGTCTACCCAAATTAGTCTCATCTTTTCCACATCTGGGCAATGAGTATACCTGATACAGAAGTGGTGCAGTCCTACGTGTATCGTCCTCTTCTTAGAGGGTTCCCTCTTGGGGGTGTCCTTTGAATGCTTCTATTTTCTCCCTTTCACCGGTCCTGCCACCTATTCAATTTGGGATTCAAGCTATGTATGTGAGTAGAAATAAGGTACCTTGGTAGAAGTTATAATTTTCCTACACTGAAAATATTTTTTCAACTGGTACTTACTGCCATTAACACTTCCCACCCTTTCTCCTCACTGTCCACTGGTGCTTAGTTTTCTGCCTAAACTCAATGTGATAGTTAGGTAGAATAGCATAGAGGGAGTCACATGTGTTGGGGGCACGTCTGTTGGTGGAGGTTTGTCGAATGATGATTTATATGTGTGAATCGATTAAACCATGTGAACTGAGGGGTACATATGAGTGAAAGACGTATGGCATGCAAAAAAAGTTTTGCAAATAGATGGCAGTGCTGAACAAGAATAGCTATGTATGTGAATGGAAGTAAGTACCTATCAGAAATATATTTTCAGTGTAGGAAAATTATAACTTTCATTAAATTAGTCTTTATTGTGAAAACAGCATGAAAAAAAATGTAGTTTTATAGTTAACAAGAATAACAATAATTTGTTTGAAAAATTAACTTTTTTGTTTTTCTATTTAGACTGGTGTTTTCCAAATTGTGTGCCATGGCACACAAGTATGTTGCAAGTGAGCTGGCACTGTGCCACCAAGAATTATGCATTTTACATATGCATTTGAGAAACATTGAACTAGAATTTGACTTCTTCAGGCTATTTTGCAGGAGTAATTTTTCTAAGTTTTTACTAGTGCTTACACCGGGCACCCACCCATCACAACTGTTACCCAGTTCTCAAAAAAGTTATACAAAGTTTAAGTCAAAGTAATGTAAACAGAGCTGCAGAAAAACTATTATTTTTAGAGAAATCAGTAAGCAAAAATCAGAAACAAGCAAAGAAAGTCACGACACAGAAAGTGAAGTGGAAGCAATCATAGTTATACAGACTCATACTGAATTCTAGTGGCAGGCCAGTGACATTAATTAGTAAGTCATTGATCTTTAAGTTTAATAGTATACAAAAATCCTCGAGTGTCTTATAAATTAAGTTATTCAATCGTTCATTATACTCTCAAACTTGCTTATACCACACTAACTTTCACTTCTTCCATTGACAATAATGAATATAGGAGACAAAGAATCAATTACGTAAGCAGCAAATTTTGAATAGCCCATTTAAAATTTTTCTTTGTTAAATGATTATCGGCTGATTCACTACGTGCAGTCAGTTCGTAGTTACTGTCATTTTGTAGCGTGGCACTATCAACATTCTAGGATAGAAATGAGACCTATCACTCATAGGAAACTTTCAAACCTGATAACTATGTGATTTGTAATAGTAAATACTGTAAATTATTGTCTCAATATAAATATGATTTTCCAAAAGTTTCTACATTTTTGTATAACTAGTTTAACTTGTTTCAACTGTAGTTAGCTGCTTTGTCATTATAACACACACTGAGAGATTACTGCTGAGTGTGCCTACGCTATCAGAAAAGTTAGTACAATCGATTGGCAGAACTTACCTCAAATATTTCAACGACAAAACCTTGATAATTTCCCATTAAGATTAGAGTGCGAGTTTCTCACTTAAACTGCAGTGAAGTGAAACAATGACTCTACGATAATGATCGCAGCATCCTAATACCTTGAATTATGATGAGCATTTTGTCATTATAACACACACTGAGAGATTACTGCTGAGTGTGCCTACGCTATCAGAAAAGTTAGTACAATCGATTGGCAGAACTTACCTCAAATATTTCAACGACAAAACCTTGATAATTTCCCATTAAGATTAGAGTGCGAGTTTCTCACTTAAACTGCAGTGAAGTGAAACAATGACTCTACGATAATGATCGCAGCATCCTAATACCTTGAATTATGATGAGCAGCGGCTGTAGGTGCCATAACGTACATACATACAACCTAAGTGTCGTCATTACGTACAAGTATTGCCTGCACATCGTGGGTATTGTTTAATAACAGTCAGCCAGGGTGAACCGTTAAAGATAATTTTTTCATTACCAGTTTCCAATATCAACAAGTTAATAATATCCAATTGAAGAAACAGTTGGAAGCATTATACTTTGATATTAATTTCATGACCACTAAATCGGTGCTCATTACTAACTGGGGAAAATTTTGTTTCAGTGACTCATGCAGTAGTGTATACCTTGCAAGCCTATTCTATAGTATACACGATGGCTACAAAAGGTTTTGGGGTTAACATCATTTTCATCTTTCATTTATAATTGTATAATTTACTGTGTTATTTTACTTTTCAATCTGAGTATTCATAACTTTTTATTATGAAGAAAACTTAAACTGTTTGGCATCGTGGTTTATATTGTCTTTTACATATTAGAAACTGTTGTGTTGATAGTAGTTGGAAATTTTTGGGCACCTGGATACCCACCTGAATTACCCATCCGGATAGGATTTTTGGTACCCATTCAAACACTAGTTTACTACAAAGTTTACTACTTTACAAAGATGGAAAGTTTATCATTTCATTGTGTTTTTGTAAACATTGTAATATTAAATTACTTGAATTATTGAACTTCAGTGATTTAAAAAAGTGCTGTTAAGATATTTTTGTATAAAACATTTTGTTTTTTGTACTGATTATCTTTTCTTGTGTGTAACACTTTTAATTATTTATGTTATATTATAGTCTGTATCATGTTGATATTTTGAGTGAATTGTTGAGTTTCTTGTACTCATTAGAGCTTCTCGCTTATTTTTATTTAGTTTGTAGCATGATATCAACATTTTTTCTTTTATCTAGTTGTTATTTCATTGAAAGTTTGTTGTTTGATGAATTAGTGATGTATAACCAACCAACTACAAATGATATTTATGTAAAATACCAGGAAGATGTAGTTACTAATTTTACACAGGTCCTAGCTTAAAGTTTTTGTGAGAAACAAGGATATAGATCCAGAACTTAAAAAAGAAAGCATTTTATTCAACTACGTTAATGACACAAATACAGAAAGTTATCACTTTTATGAAATAAGAACTAATATTTGGTTTTTAATAGTTATAATTAGAATTAGTGTTTATGATTATACAAAATTATCTTCCAATTTATCTTAATATACTTTTCTACAATAATGTTTTAATTAAATTCTCATCTTACAAAAAATCTTATAAGAATATTAAAGTCATTTACGATCAAACTGGACATTAATCCATGGGAAAGCTTTAGCTTACTTCAGACTGGTGCTGGCATGAGGTTTAAGCTTGCTAACTTGTTGGCTAACTAATTAGCTAGGCTTAACTACTGCTTTTATACTATGTTTTTCTAATTCAAGCATTACTGATCATCCCATAATAAATCTTTGTTTTTACTGTGTTAAACCAGTTCATCCTGGTGTGAAATTATGCATGATATAGCAAGTGAGTTGTCCATGTAATTTCCACAAAAACTTGTGATAGTTTCTCTACCATTCTTAGTGGGATAAGTAATGTCCTGGAGTGTTGGCTATTTATACTGCCACCCACTTGACTATTTATCATTTAAGTTACTCCATTTTTTTCTGGTCAACTCTCTCACTGCTTACTTTATCAACATATACTGCTCTGTGTGTGTGTCTTCATATTAAGATGCTGACTGTTTTTCAACTTATTAGTGTATTCTGCTATGCTGGCAGCTACGATAACCAATTTGCAGTTAATGGAAGTGTTCATTGAAACTCGTTTGAAAATAGTTGCTGGATATTTGTTGTTCCAAGCCATGCTGATTGATCTAAAAGTGTTTCTTCAGTTTGCAAACGTGTCCCTTGACCCCGTTTCTCTAATGCTGTGTAAGGGGGTGTTCTTAAGATAAAGTAATGTTAACTTAAAGCATTTCATATGATTATCCTATTCATGAACAAAAAATTACTTGCATTAAACAAAGTCTGGTAATTTAATTCCTTTCAGTTTTTTCTATTGTAACACATAATCCATGATTTTCAAAATTTTTTTCAGGTTTTATGTATTCATTTGAAACGTTTCCGTCATGAGGTGATGTTCTCTTCCAAAATTAGTAGTTTTGTGTCTTTCCCATTAGAAGGCCTGGATATGTCACCCTTTCTTCATAAAAGTAAGAAACATACTTAATGAATAGATAATGCAATGGCTATGTAAAAGTTAACATGTCAGTGAAAGAGAACTTAATACAACAGTATCTCCTTAGCTTTAGTGATTTTTTTTAAAAACATTCAGTCCAGAAAGTGCATGAGAATGGTAAAAGTCTATTCTAGTAAGAGAGGTACCTGAAAAAAAGGATGATCCACGCAACTTCTATCATATTTAATCTCTGTTTGCAAGCTTGATGCATGTAATGAAATTAAAAATTCAAATTAGGGGCAAATATAGCAGCTCAAGCCCATAACATCTCACATTTAAAACTACCATTCAGCTTCTGCAACCACTTGTGAAAAATCAGTTATTCCTAATGAATGAGGAAAGTGGTGATAAATTAAAACAGATTATGAAAAACAAATCAGTGAAGTTGAGACATTTAATATTTATTTTCTGAAGTTGATTCTTCTGCCACATAATTGTCACATGCTTGCATGAGCATTCAGTTCATTGGGCTTAACTATTTTTCATTTCAGTGAATTTATATTACATAATTTTATTTTTAAAATATTAATTCAATGATTTTTTAAAATTTCATTTAATGGTCTTTAAATATGAATTCAGTAGTTTTTAATCATTTACACCTGAACATCTTTAAATAGTATTCAAATACTAGCTAATATTTAATGGTTTTATTTGTCATGGGAAGTACAAATACTAGCGTTAAGTGTCAAGTTTACCATAATTATTGTTTTCATCCTGTTAGTTGTGAAATATGTTTTGTTTTTGAAAATGCTTTACTTATTAGCATGAAATGAAGAACCCTTTTTTTCTTCTTATTTTTGGAAATGTACTAATTACTATTAAGTGCCAAATTTGTTTTGTCTTTTTAAATTATTTTGTATTAAGTATTGTGGCATTTGTGTATAGAATCCCATGGGACTGGTATTATAGCCAGTCCTTGTATCCATTCAAACATGAAAACTTATCGTTAAGATAACACACAATTTACAATATTGCTCTATTGGAGAGAAGTAATAATTACTACGATTTTGAATCTTGTATGTGTATATTGACGTAATGTGCTAAGCTTTTAGTAAACTACAAGTCTGTTGTACACTAAAAATCAGAAGTATTTCAACAAAAGATTTGTCTTTGAATTTCTGAAGCTTTTACTAAGTCAGTCTGAGTGAAAGGTAATTTTCATGCTGAGAATAAAAATACCTTTTTTTCAGTTTTCATATTTAATTCTCTCACCCCAGGTATCCTTTACTGCACATAGCACAAGGTTTTTAGTCTCTTACATTCAAAATTTTATTATACTACTTTTTGTGTACGTATACCAATTAGTATAGCATAGAATTATAGCTAATAGCCCATATTTTAATAGTATATAAGTTTTAAGTTCTTAATTTTAGAAAGCAATATTTTAAAATATCCTGAATTTTCCTTAGTGTGACTCACATGACACATTTTCTCTATTTTATCAACCACCTCCCAAGAAACTAAGAAATTCAACATAAATTGCTCAATATAAAATCGTCATTGCTTAGACAAACCATAATTTTTATAGCCTTCAATTTTGTTTGGTTACAGAGCTATCAAATAAAAAATGACCCCTCCTGCCACACCCACTTGTCACAACCTCTCTATCAGGATTTGTTGAGAGTTCTCTCTTATGTTTAATTATATATTGCCTATAACCAAGAGAAAGTCAAGATTTTCATCTATCAAATGACGTATTGTATAACATTGTGTTCTGAACACAGAATAGTCAGTTTCACTTCTAATTCAACTTTGGTTCCCACGGGAATCACAGTGGTTAGCTTGGATGTATTTGTAACTGCTCTTGTAGCATACTTAGAAAGCCAGAAAAATTGTAATTGTTAGAGGAAATTGTCTGCATTTTTAATGTTATTAGTCTATGTTCTTTGATGCATTATATAATTAAATAAGAATAATTTAATGCACTACTACCATTAGTTAAAAAAAAAGTAGGGTTATCTGTCATTGATAGTCAAGAGCAAAAAAAAAAAAGAATACTTGGATAAGTACTTTATTTCTTGTTTTTTATGTTTATTCTTTATTTATTATTATAAAAGTAACTAAAATCTAAATATATTTCTTTCGGTTAGTTAAGGTTAGATTAAATAAAATAAATAATAATATAATAAAAATGTTTCACAAGGCATGCATGTGAGCAGGTTGGAGTAGCTCGTGGGTAATGTAATTCGTTAGCATAACGTGAGCTGCATGTTCCGCAAGTGATTTACAACTTATAATGGTTCAGATAGTAGTTAGACACAGTTCAAAGGGCAATAAAACAATCAAATTTAATTACAAATAGATGTATACTGTTGTGAGTTTAAAGCTAAATGATAAATGAATGTAGTTTCATGCTACATTTGAAGTCATTCTAGAAAGAAAAGGAGAGTAATTTCGATTTTTTTGGGGGGTTACGATCCCGTTTTGAGATAGGATAGAGAAAATAACAGATAAACTATATAAAGTTT